CAGTTACAGATTTATACTATGGTTGCCAAGTATAAGGGTTATTAGCTGCAAACACTGCAGATAAACAGATTAACAGTGCATAGCAATATGTAAGTGTAATCAGCTGTTCGTAATACAATAACCAATTTATTCCCATCAACCTATGGGAGGAGGGGTAATGTTGACATCAATAATATACTAACCAATAACACTGTAAATCAAACTATTCATTAAATTTTAGCTGAAATTATTGTATATCTAGTGGGGAAGGAACTCTTAAATATTTTATTTTACATGATTAAATTAAATACTATGAATTACTTTATATTCAATGGAATTAATTTTCATTGTAAACTACTAATTGGGTTGACACAGTAATTAGCTTATATTGATTTGTTGCAAACCACACACAAATCATAGGAAACATAGTATTTTCACTGAATTAAATTTAATTTACACGGAAATTTACTACTATCAATGAAAATAGCAAATAAGTACTCCACGTTTCACATACTATTAAGCTAATGCCATGAATGACAGCGTAAGTTCACGTCTTCGCCCTGTCTACATGTACACTCACGGGTATTCCCCGTCACATAATATACACCATGGACGTACTAGAGACCTACACTTACATTATGATCATCGGTCACAGCGCCCAGGCTACTGGAATTTATTTAAGTGACTTATTATGACAACCAAGTCAGTCGCCGTGTATTTTCACCCTCGTCAATACGACCTCCGCCACGTACAAATATACTTATAGCGCGATGATCGATTAACGTCCTTGAAAGTTCAATCGACAGCCGGTAACGAAGTTATGAAAAGATGAACTGGCAAATTGCAGCTACGTAGACAGCAGTACTTTGTGTTGATGGCAACCAGGAAGCGATGTCAACGTTCAGTTAGTTTCCGACTCTATGTATGATACTACCATTGTATACAGTGACAGTGATGGCAATAATTGGACGTCGCGCACCAACGCACAGGTTAAGAAACTCGCTGCAGCAGTTTGCTACTGTGTATCAAAACTTGAGGCAGACGCGTTAATTTGTGTTGCGTGTGACACGATCGGACAATCGGCGCATGTTTCAACGGCCAGAAATGATTTCACTTACCAGGATCAATAAAACTGTAAGGAGAACGGTGATTTCACGCTTTATGCACTGTACTATATGACCATTTCCACCATAAAATGAGATATTGAAAACAAAATAGCACGCCTAATCATTGATCTGAACATGCGCAGTCAGCGGTTGGCAACGCTGCCTCGCTTTGAAGTTACAGGATTTCCCTCAACTTTGTTTTGGTGTTCGCCGCGCGAGCAACGGCTGCGGGCAGTATCACGGTACACGACCAACTGCGTACATATTTTTTCCATCGTGGCTCAAATATTATTCCAATTTTTAATTTATTGTTAATAAGTAAATAAATCTATATAAAGTTGATAAAAAAATATTTGTAAACCAGGCAATACACACAAAAACGACGTGTTTGACATAAATACATCATTACTATGATACAAGGCACCGGGCTACACGTGAACCAGGACTAAGATATGTAGAATGATGTCTACAGCCCATGTGGCTGCCATACATTACCACAAAGATCTACTTTGGAAAAATCCATATTCAGTTGATTCAAAACTAATTATTTTGAAAATTATCGTGAAACAAACATTTACTTCACTTCCATGTATTCAAATTACAATCTAGTTCAGTATATGCTGCGAATTCAAATAAAAAAAATCAAGTTTTAAAAAGAATTGATAATTAAATATTTTCTTTCTCCACAGTAATGTTTTTGTTTTAATATATAATTGGTTTCTTTTATAAATCAATCTTTTGTAATTGTTTTTAAACTGTTATATGTATATAATATGAGCATGGAAACTAATTATAGATACACTGAATTAAATTTAAAAAAATAAAATAATAAAAAATCTTTGTTAAGGCTGGAAAGTCAGTGACGTGATCTGGACTGTGCTGCATATTAAAGCGCGGTGGTCGTCGCGCTGCGTCCTGTTCGATGTGGGACTTATAGCAACGTATACGCCTGTAAAATACATTGTTTACGACCACCGCGCTTTAATATTGTAGTCATTCAATTTGGCAAGTCAACTTGTATTCAGCATTTCAAGGACAAGGTCATGTGTAGAGAGGGCACCCAGTTTCAAAGATAATCAATAAAAAGGTACCTTACAGTATGTAAGAATATTTTTTGAAGAATCTTTCTCCGGTCTGTTTACATGTGCATAGCCCATAATACTTTATGTATTACCAGTAGTTTGGGAATAAAAAAGCCATTTTGGTTCAGTAATACAGAATCACTGACCTATAACTATAAGATCCAAAAGCCTTTGTAATGTAATACGCCCTCTAAACTACCAATCAGACTGTGCCATAGCAGCAAAAACAAACACAGGATTAGTATTGTAGTGAATATAAGGTACAATGGGATTACACACGCTCTAAATAATGGCATGCAAACTTGAACCAAGTTCAACTAGTGCACAATTACCATAATCTTTAAAACCCAGGTTGGGGGGGGATTTGCCAATCACCATGGAAACAGTCTGGCCCAGTAATGTATTCACTTATAACGAACATGGGATAATACATGCATGTAACAGTAATTGTACAATCAGTATTGTTTTCAATACTCACTTGTTGCTCAAGAAATTTAAACTCAGTGCTTGCCAAGAACAAATTTGCATGTCTAGTCAGAATTGCAGGGGGCTTCTTTAGAAACAAAAACATACACAGACACGCACACCAAAAAAAAAAAGGTTTCACTGGCCAATTTTGCATGCAAGTAGTAGTAGTAGTAGTAGTCCAGAGTTTTAAATCCGGTTTGGTCCCCAAAGACGAGGGTGGCCGGATTCACCTTAAACTAGTGGCAATCGCTCTTACCCCTCCCTCCACTTTGCCCGATTTAAAGCATCCCTCATCCTCATCCCAACCTTCCCACTCTCCTCCTCCACTTGCATCTTCCACGTCTTCTTTGGCCTTCCCCTTTTCCTTGGACCACTCACCTCTAAATCAAGGGCCCTTCTTAATACATGCCCATACCAACGTACCCCATTTGCCTTCGCCAACCGATCTACCGTTTCCTTCAAACCCAACATCTGCATCAAGTCCTCAGTTATCTTTCTGTCCATCAACTTCAGCCCACACATCACTCTCACCATCGCTCTCTCTGTCCTCCTTAAAATACCCAGCTCATTTTCACTCAAACACCATGTCTCGCTCCCATACAGCAATGCTGATCTCACACAACTCTTATAAACTATTCCTTTCATCTCCAAGGGAAATCTCTTCCCATATAGTAGCTTTCCACATTCCCTAAACTTCACCCAAGCAAACCTTGCTCTAGCTGTCACAGCCGCCTCACACCCACCACCCACACTTACCTCGTCCCCCAGGTATGTAAACTCCTTCACTGACTCAAACTCATCACACAACTTTTCTTCCTGCAAGCTTAAAATTTGACAGATTATAATGGGGCATTGTTTTTTGTTTCAAAAAAGTTCAACTTGGCTCAGACAGATAAGTTGTCTGATAACTTAGTCATGTATTCAAAAGCATTATTTAAACAGAAAGGAAAATCTTTTTTTTTTTGGCCTTCATCTGTGCATTGGGGAGCAATTTTAAAGTACCTTTGAAATAAGTGACAATTCTTGGCTGTAGAATTACATAGTTTTCCATAGATGCCATCATATAGGAAATAAGTGTGCCATGAGTGGGAGAAGATGACATGAGCTGCCTTAGTGAAAGCACACCAAACATACAGGTAAACAGAATTTTCCTCTTACACACATGAGGGCGGTATACTAAAGCTCCTGATACTAATACATTCACATTCATTCAAACAGAAACCCATAACATTTTTAAAACTGTATAATATATATTTACAACAAAATAATTGTAAATTACATGATGCACTGGTATAAATGACAAGAAACAGCTAACAAACTGTATCTTTATGATAAAAACACGATTCCACAAGATATTCAAAAAAGCAGCCTCTATTTGAAAGTGAATAATGGAAGAATCAGTAAAGTACATAACATTGGTACTTGTGTAATTAACATGATTGGACAGTAAAATGATAGACATGAAGTACAATTAGTTGATCTAAAAGCAATCTTTATCAAATGGAAAACTATTTTCCAGTAATTTAAAGTTTGACCTCTGTTATGAATATAGTTTACGTGTAAATTGGCTTGATCAATGATTCACCAAGTATACACAAATGTTTGAAGCAATGTTTTTGTATAACATCTGAATTTTCTCATCTTCTTCAAGTATGTATTCATGACAGTTTCATTCTGAGAGCAGCTAAGTTTCTTTACATGATATATGTTTTGTTTTTTTTACTTTTCTCCTAAAAGCAACAGTAGAAGCAAACTTTGGTGATATTTACTGTGTTTGGGTGAACTTCAGTTCCAATAATCATAGACATTTGTTATAGTTTATTATATTTCATTAACTGTTTTAGTGCAAAGTCAACTATTTTCACCATTCACAAATTTTTGTTCATAATTTTTCAAAAATGTTGTAGCCAATGATATTATTATACATCTGTCATCGTAACGCCATAAGTTACAGTATGCCGTAATTTTGCGGTATTTTACGGGGTATTTTCATACTACCATATTAGGAAATGCGAATTCCAAATATGGAATAATTACGCGCGTAAGCGTCCTCTAATAATAAAAAACAAACATGGCTGCCACCAGGATTTGACCGGACTCCATACAAAGAAGTTCGCTGATTCTGTTCTAAACGTTTTGGATTTCGGCATTTCCATGTATTCTTGAAGGGAAAAGATGTATAATAATAAGGTTATTACGAAGATACCTCAAAGTATGCAATCAGACAGTAGGCTGTCGCATCGACCTCCGCTGCGCGTCGGTCAATACTGCCGCTGTACTGTCTGAGTGCATACTTTGAGGTATCTTTGTAATAACCTTATCGTATGTGCATTTGGTCCAAAATGATCAAAAAAAAAATAAAGAAAAATACAGAAAATTAGAAAAATATTGCACAGAAATTTTGCTGAGAAAAATAATGGCACTTAAAGTAACTATTGAAAGTAACTATTTTGTAAACATCATAATTATATTGAACAGAAAATACTCAAAATTATCTAAAATGCCCCACCTAAAAATTTGCAAACAGAAGTACTGAATCCTGTGTTAGTATAGTTGTAGCATGTGTGAAATTCACAATCATTCCAAGACTTTCAAAAGGTGATGTTACCCACATCATATGCCTATCACATGAATGTAAATGCAGATGTTATTTGTGTTATCTACTCAACAAGTGTTAACCTAGATCATCTAATTGTCACTGTCTGTGTAATCATGTAGATTCATGGTCGGTGAGTCTGTCTGTCTGTCCGTCCGTCCGTCTGTTCGTTCTACTAGTTTATTTTACATTTGAAATCTACATCACCATTTACAGATGGTCCCCTAAACCAAAGTAAATCATAATTTCTACCAGCACCAGAATCTTTCACACCAACATATTTTTCCTCAATATCCATTAATTTTTCAGACAAATTTTCCATTACTCGTGGGTATTGATCCCATTTTAGGAGAATTAGAATCCAAATGTTGCATTTTTGTTGATTTTGGCAGTCAACAGTCCTTTTCGGCAATCATATAAATATGTATATGCTTGTAGAATTGCTATAAATATGTAATGCATAGAGCTAACTATATTTACACACTCCTAGTACCTCTCACTTCTTGCCTTTTTTTTTCTGGGATGGTCGAGATCGCTTCCTCCTATCTGGTTTCCTAGTTTTATGAAGTCTACCTAAACTATAGCCCTGCCTACGTCTTATTAGCATGTGTTGCTCTACTAGACCGGCGAGCTGACCCTGCTCGGCCAGAATGGATAGGAATGTTGTTATGAACGGGTCGTAGTTATGACTGCGTCGACAGTCATCGATCTGTAGAGAAAAAATAGTACAAGTATTTTTAGTGGAATATGACATATGTAAAGTGCTTCCACCTAAAAAAGGATAATGAAATAAATACACATACATATTCTATACACTGAATCCATGTCTCTATGACACTGTGGCAGACATGAGGTTTAAGCACTGCTGCAAACACACAGCCCAATGTTAGGCTTTGTACTCAATAGTGAATCATTAACCTTTTCACCACCAGTTCCCTTTTTTCATCACAATTACACAAAATAGTCCCATTTATAGTCTGCACTTTCCTTCAGAAGATTGGGACAAATATAGTCAAATTTCTTGAGTAAAATCTGAAAACAGACTTTTGTCTGTTGGTTCCAAAAGGAGGGTACATTTCCAGAAATATTGAAGAATATAAGAAACAAGCAGACTCTTAGCTGAGATAGCTCCGCTGTTAGCAATGCACATTTTAATTTAAAAAACTGAAGATATCATCACAAAATGAACAAATCTGAGAGAGGTCTACCTGAGTTGCCTATAATATCAAAGCAATCAGACTTGCGGTTTTCAACAAGAAGTCAAAAATATCACTTTTTACCAAAAATTACAAAGAATATTCATCAAAATTAGAGAATTAAAGATACATTTGTATCACCACGAAATGAACAAATCTAAGAGAGGTCTGCCTAAGGTACATATACACCAAGTATCAAAGCGATAAGAATTGTAGTTTTCAAGAAGAAGTCGAAAAAGTAAAAACTTGACACGAACAACAGACGGAGACAGACAATCACTGATATAATGATAAGCTTTGCTCAACAAAGTCAACAGTGGAGCTAAAAAGTGCAGACAAATTTCAGCGAGAAAGTATGGCGATAAAAAGGTTAACAAACAATATAAATTTTTATTTTTAAATTATTTTTAGCATAGCAATATAAATACATTATAGCTGCAGTTTTTCTCAATTTGTTCATAATGTTCAACCCACGTACAAGTGAGCCAAAAATAAAACACTATTAAATGGTAGGCACTGATACCAGAGTAAACACATGGTAACATCAAAGAAAGCTTAGAAAGAACTCCCATGTGCTGAGAGTATTGGAGACACATTAAATATAATTTGAAATTAACTTAGCTGAAAACTAATTATGCAAATCAGAAAATTAACATGAACAGTTTTGATTGTAAAACTAATGAGGTCTGCGCAATGCAACAAAAACTCTATGTACCAAGTTTAATTGAAATGTGATTAGAACCAAAAAATTATGAATTATTATGCTTATTAGGGAAATAATATGAACAGAGTTTTACCCCAAACTAATTAGGTTTGTACATTGTCCTAGAGCATCTTTGTACTAAGTTTCATTAAAATGGAAATTAGTACTTTAGATATCAGTGTGAAAGCTTAAAATT